TTTCTGGAACCTGGGAAGCATGCATTAGTTACTTTTAATGTAAATATATTTTGTATTATGAAATGTTAACTTAGCGCTTCACGTACACTGTAGTTAGATCCTAGTTTTAACTTGTTAGTATGAATTTGTTGAATTAATTGACAGGTTTTATTATTATAGAAATTTTGGAAGGTCCAAATTACAAAGGAGATTCTGTCAAAATTTCTACAAAACATTTAAACTTTACGAACTGAATTATTATTATATATAACTTAGATATCAATATTTTAGCTTAATCTCTAGCTAATTAAGGTTTATGGAATATGAATTCACCTCATATTTCATGCGAGTCATATCCTTAATATCGAGGTGTGACAATAATCATTTTCCAATTTCACAAACAGCTACTCCAAAAGAAAGTAAAAATGATTGGCTTTTAATCAGACTGCTGCATTTTCTTTTGTGCCTTAAGCTATGATGATGTTGGGAATCATGTGCCTCAGTCATTTGTTTATTTTCTTAGCAATGTTCTTGTTTCATGGCTTGAATAAATTATGCTCAATACAAACTTGGGACAATCTAAGCCTAAATACTTTGAGAACTAATTAATTCATGGCTAATCATGATCATATCATACACTAATCAAGGCAATGTTGGTTTTTTATACCTTGTAAAATACAATCCTCCAGCCACAGAACGTGATCCAACAAAACTTGACATTCCGTTTCGGCTCATTCTTAGGGCCTAGTCTTTATTGGGTTGTTGTCGTTGCATCAGAATCAGGCCTTAATATATTTACCCTTCAGCCCAGTCATTTTTCCTCATGTCGATCAAATTCATGCCGATACCATTTTAAAAGTAAGAGTGATTAATTTGACCATTTTGCAAATTTTACTTTCTATTTTTTTAAGTAATTATTATGTTTTAAGGGTGCTCAAGGAGAATGGTTGCTTAAGAAAAGAAGGATGGGAACCACCAAGTAAATTGGGTGAGCGGCATTGCCCATTGTAGTCGCTACATGAGACTGGGGTGTGTGGCTAAGCCGCCACAACTTATTGGGCCAGAAATTAAAATTTAAAGTAGTTTTCATTCTGATCATCAACATATCAAATAAATGTTTCAGAGGAATCTCATAATTATCGAAGGTTATAAAAAGAAAATGGTATATTAATGGAAGCGTGATAGTGACGGATTGGACAAGGGGAAGACAAGGTTATTGAATGGAGATTAAAGGTCACATGGATGGGAGGGTGAAATTCGAAGAAGGAACAACTCATCAATTAACAACTAAAGTTAAGAATATTTACACGTTACGTAAATATAAATATAGCTAATAGCTTGAATAGTGTTATCGAACATTTCATATGGCAGCAGGAGCAAACCATGTCCACTTGGTGGAGGAGTTGTTGAAATTAATGGACGAGAGTGACTTGGAGCTGCAACACTACAAAGGGAACACTGCCTTTTGCTTTGCTTTCTGGAAACACGAAAATTGCTGAAATAATGTGGCAAAGAAATGCACTCTTGCGAATAGTCAGGGGTGCACAAGAAGTGAGACCTGTAGTCATGGCTGCTTTACAAGGGAAAAGTGCAATGGCATGGTATCTATACCCTAAAACTGTTGAAATGTTTGGAGAATTGGATTGGATTCTACTGTTCTTCATTTCTATCAACACTAGAATATATGGTAAGTACATGGTCCATAACCTGTCAATCAATATAGGGTGTCAGACAAAACAGTTTATCTGAGGCTTTAAAGTTGTTAAACATGTCATTCTTTATTGCTTCCGATCTGAACATCATAGGGAAACTTGAGATAATAGCAATTACGCTTGAAATAAGTAAACGTCTCTTTTCACTATTATATAAACTCTTTAAGCTAGTCTTTGTTCCTGCCTGTGCTAATTGGTCTGACAAGCTAGCTTATGCAGTAAACTTGGAGGCCGGCCGGAGGGATTTGGTTTTTGGATTAGTCAAGTCATATTTATCAATTCAGCTGGCAAAGTTCAATAGATAGCCACCCAACAATTGATGATTGATCAAAATTGAAATAATGGATCGTAACATTTACTATTTTCACCTTTCCTAAAGTTGCGTCGTGAGAATGCTCCAACTTACTCTTATGTATGACTCCACTTGATGTAGCTTGTGAATCACAACTACCTCATTAGTTACACATATATAAAGCCTTGTATGAGTTGTAACCAAGGAAGTCGAAACATGTACATATGGACACCAACAATTTGCAGATTAGCTTTTGCTCAGGATGGAAACAAAGGCACAACTTTAAACGTCTTAGCTTGAGAACCTTCAAATTCTGGTCCCCAGAGTTTGTCATATCAAAAACAAATCATGAAGTCCTGTGAGTGACTACAATCAACGCTATCAGGAAAACTAAATCATTTAGACTATGAAAATTCACTATCCATCTATTTTTCCGAGTTATGTTATTTAATGGGCAGAGGAAGAAGTACTTAATATTCTTGATTTCTTGAACGAAGGAATGGAGGGTGGTGAAAGAAGTCGCCATCATTCCTTGCTTGAAAGATTCGCAGGAAGAAAACTGTCCTTGCTCATTTTTATCTTCATTATGGCAAGCGTAGGCTGAATCTAATGTTAAAAGCAAAAGTACTCAAAGCATCCTATACGTAATTAAATGTATTCATCCAAGGGTAAGACTAGGAATAGTTTATCAAGGACCAATTCAACTCAAAACATCTAGCTACAATGTGGCAGTCTTTCTGTAAGTTCATCTGTAGCTATATTGGAATATTTAATTTGCCTTTCATTTGAACGTTACTTTAAGAATGAGTATGGATACGGTTCCACCACACTTTAGTGCAAGGAGGTGGATAGGATTAAACTCTAAACTGCTTAATTGATGATCCGTAATATGCTAATAGCAAACTCAACTTAGAAGTTTGAAGTGTGAAGCGAAAGCTTGGTAATAGTTCAAATGCTATCAATATATATATACTTTCTGGTATTGGTTTTCTAAGATGAGTTTTTCATTGTCTTACTTTTTCATCACATGAATAATTCCAGGTGTGAACCAAAATCTGGTCATTGAGCTTGTTAAGAAAATTTGGAAAGAAATTCTTCTTCTAGACGAGTTGAGCATGATGAAAGTCATAAGGGAACCTTCACAAGTAATATTCGATGCTGCAGAAGTTGGAAATTTTGAGTTTCTAGAAGAGCTTTTGGGCTTTTACTGTGATTTCATCATTTCATGATGGAAAGGGATAGCAGATGACAAGTTAATAGACAAAGATCAAGTGGATCGGTCGACGTCCAGAACAAAGGCCAAAGTCACGTCCATATGTTCTAAATTTTAGAAGTGCAGTTGAAGTTGTTATGCAACACGTGGGCTTGATAGTTTTAGTTAGGACTGATTAGTTGTATTATTGTTAATCTGTTATTTACGTGTATGCGCTGGCAGTCTCTCATTAGTTCACTTGTACTTATCTTTATTTATATTAGAAGAGTATGTACTCTGAGATGAATAAGACAAGAACGTCATTCTCACTCAAATTCTCTTTATTGCTTTTCTCTCTCTTAGTTTTGTTTGCAGAAACTAAAGTATAATTGACATTGCTGTCTTGCATCATCATGCCAGTATCTTCAATCTCATCCATGAAACTGGTCCAAATAAGGATTCCATAGTTTCTTCCCTCGATAGTAATGATAAATGCAATTTATTGCATTTTGCTGCAAAATTAGCACCACCAAACCGACTTGACTTGGTTTCAGGAGCAGCTTGTCAAATGATGCTTGAGCTGTTATGGTTTGAGATATATATATATATATATATATATTCGCCTTAACTCCATAGCCTGTGCATAAAAGCTCAAGCTTCTTTCACTTTCTGTATGTATGTGGCATAATAAATTCATGGTTTGATGTGGCAGGAGGTGAAGAAGATAGTGCAACCATCATTGATAGAGATGAAAAACTCTGAAGGCCTGACTCCTAGCGAATTATTTACCAAAGAACACCCAAAATTGCTAAAAGAAGCAGAGTCTTGGATGAAGGCAACTGCAAACTCTTGCATGGTAGTTTCAACACTGATTGCTACAGGAGTATTTTCTGCTGCATTCACCATTCTTGGAGCTAACAACGACACAGGAACTCCAAACTATTTGGAGAAACTGCCATTTTTGATATTTTCTATATCAGATGTGCCTGCACTTATTTCATCCTCAACCTCCATCCCCATCTTCCTCTCCATCCTTATCTCACGTTGTGCGGAAGAAGACTTTCTCAAGTCTGCCATATTCCTATTGTACAAACATATCAACATATAACTAAGGCTATGATTTGATTTATGATCGGATTACTTTGTTGTATAAATTTTTAATATTATAAAGTATATTTTGGAACCCTTCACTGTGAAAACTAGCATTAAGACCGCGCAGGGAGAGTTTCTATGCATTAAATTTAGACTAAAAAATAATATAAAAATTTTACAAAACCTATTAAAATAGTATGATTGTTAAAAAATATTAAAATAATATAAAAGTAAATTTGTCCCAGAATGCCAGGGCCCAAAAGCGTTAAATAGCCGCCACTACAAAGCAATTTCAAACTACAATTTTAATATTGTAGAAGTTCAAAATAAATCTGGTAGATCTTCAAAATATATTAAATGGACTAATAGATGTTGTAGGTATATTATAAGAAGTTACAAACTGAAATAGTTTCATGAATTTGAAAGATAAATAAATTAAAATAGGACAGATACGTACGCTGGAATGGGGCGTTGTCTGTTTTGACCATTTCACCGCTGATGACGCGCATAAAGGCCAATTTGTTCCGATACAGGAAAATTTTGCTGATAAATTAATGTAACCATTTTTTGTGACGTACATACGATTTTATTTAATTTGTAGAAGAAATTTGGATATAACAGCATATGATAGATTTTTCAGTTTGTAGGAAAAAAATAGTTGGGCGAAATATTCCGGTAGATATAAAACATATATAGTACTTAAAGAATAAATAAAGTTAAAAGGGGAGAGATATTGAATTGTATGTGTAGTTTTGTATTTTGACTTTCTGAGCGATATACATAATGGACAAATTTGAGGATACGCGCACGAAACTTATAATCCCAGTGTGTTTCGATGATGAATTATTAATTACAATAAGCAAACAAAAAGTACAAGGAAACAGAAAACAGATACAAGAATTAAGCAGCTTTATGAAAAGATGGACAACTTAAGAAAGAGAACAAAGAATAAAGAACATAATCAATCTTATCATGATGATGAACCCTACAGATGCGACGACATTCATTAATCATTTTTCCTTTACATCGAACCACTTAACTCCATTACCAACGATGAACGTACGCTTCATGGATCTGCATTAAAATGAAATCCAAATCAAAATCATGCGCACAAAGTACTGCTTCTGTGCCTGGTGATGGACATAAACACGTAAAAACAACATCGGCCGGTCCAACTCAAGAAGATGAATTTTGCGAGCATAAATCTATATCTCAAATTTGAAAACCAATCTAAAAAATTACCTTGTTAGGGGGGAGAATTTCTTAAACTTATAAACCCCACATCACTCCCTGACATGTGGAACTCATAACAATGAATATCAGATCAAAATGGAAGTAAATATTGACCTGGGGAAAGGAACGGAATGAAAAGAGTCATCATCTTCTCTTGGAAAAATGATCCTTGGAAGTTAGGATGTGAGTGCCAGATCTTGTCGAGTTATTAGAGTCCTGAGTCCTTGGAGGAGGCCTAGTGGTAGGGCAAAGAATGCTCTGGATGTTGATGCTTGCAGAACTCATATTTCTTCTCACAATTAATCCAAGGTTCTCTCAATTAACGTTGATCAATCCTCACAGAGAGAGGTAAGGTTTTTTATGAATGAAGAAGCTTGATGAGGAATATAATCCGATACAGGTATTGTATTTATAGAGAGAAGCAACGTGTAGATGGGCTATAAGACGGCTCAACACGAAAGCAAGTGATAAGAGATTGTTGAATTGATTATTATCAAGAAATGAAGAGAAATTTACAGAGAAAGTTCTGAATAAGTTCGGGGCTCAAGCAGACGATCGGTTAAACTAAAATAGACAGTGTTAAAGCCGTGTCGGTGATCGCCGATGATGTGGTGCGCTGGCAGTCAAGTCTAGTTACATTTCAGCTTATTTGGAGCCATGGCGACATATAACTTCGAGGAATGTAGAGTGCGAATTGTCAACCCCTCCATTCTATTTCTATGCGTGCAATATTTCTGCATGGTAATTTTTTGCGAATGTCCCATTTTGCCCCCACCTTGGGTTTTATTTGGCCGTCATATCCGTGGTGGGCTCTTTTCAAAGTTTGACCAAAGGCCTCTTCAAATGGAGTAGTTATTAAGTTAATTCCAACTTAATTACCATACAATGATGAGCTGTAATGTGTTCATTACTCCCTCTGTCCCAAATGATAAGATATATTTTGAAGAAATCTAACATGTAAAAACATAAAATAATTTAAAAAGATTAAAATTTCATTAAATAAGCTTATTCCAATAATATCCTTTCTAGCTCTCCATTTAATTCTTATCCTTCTCTTTAATTTTTAATACATGAAATGGAGGATATTTTTAAAAATTCATATTTTTGTTTTGAAAAAAAAAATATTATTAAATGTATTTAATGAGGTTGTTAAGTTTATATTTCATGAAATTTATAAATTTAACTTTAACTTTGTAAGCTTTTGATATAGAAAATAAACGGATCAATTGAAGTATAGGAAGTTTATGGGGGAAAAATTAATTAAGTACTATGAGAACTAAATTGAAAGCAAACTTTAGGATTTAAAATATTAATTTTCCCTAATTTGTATCTGGGCCTGTTTCAAGTTTCCTTCCCTGATTTAAAATATTAATATTCTTGGCTGTCATAATCCTAGCTAGTTGAAACCCTGCATACTTTATTAATCATGACAATCCTGCCAAACAGATTCAACTGAATGATTGATGATCGTGTAACACATTGCTTACAACACACTACTGAAATGGCGGCTTTAAGTGCCCATATATAATTCTACTATGCTATATATATACACGGCCAAAAAGGAGAAAGGTACGATTAGGAATTCTATAAATACGGCTTACAATCTTTACGTTGAAAGTGAAATTGATTATACAGGATCAAATGAAACATTATCTTATTCGAAAAATTTCGAACAACAAAAACAAAGTATACCGACAAGAAGGTCAATTGAAATATTGAATATCTCCATTATTGGAAAAGCAGATACGGACAAGAAATTGAAGACATACAGCTATACATTTTCGGCGTCAAGGTTGAAAGATATATATTCATACAATCACACTAGACACATAGCTATACGTAACATGCACAATTTAAGAAAATGAATAAATAGTAATGAATAAACACATAATTGGCTCCATATATATCCACATTGTGAGTGGTCATCGATGTCTCTTGGAAAAGATATCCTGGGCACTTGGGATTCGAGTACTAGGTCTTGTTGTCGGAAGGTTCTGAGTAGATGGCCTCGGAGGCCCAAATATCTTCGGAGTCCAGAACTCATCTTGATGATCGATTCAAGGTAATAATATTGGTTACACAGTCAGCTTTTTAAGGTAATTTGATTGACGTGATGATCGCACGGATAGAGTTAATTTGGCTTGATTTGAAGATTGAAGTGTGCTTTTATGTATAGACAAGGTATTTATTGTGATCCACATGTTCAATAACTGATAACATCGGAAGAAGGAAAGTTTATGGGAGGTAACCTAGTGATTGTTAAGGTATTTACGGAGTGAAATCAATTTGTATTGTATCGCATCAATTTCCAAACATTTTGAAATATAAACTCATTTACTCGGAAAAACCAGCATTAGATTAGGGCACACGTCAACCAAACTCTTATATATATATATATATATATATATAAATTAAAGTATACATTTAGTTATTTAACTTTACATGTCATTTTATTTTAGTTCCTTAACTTTATAAAGTATTTTTTTAGTCCTTTAACTCTAATACTACTAGCTTTATTTTAACAAATTTTTATATTAAACTTTTAAACATTAATAAAATATTATTAAATGTTAATATATTAAGTTTAATTTTTTTAAAATAATAATGATTGATACAAAAAATAATTATTTAAAACTAACGATGTTAGTGTTAAAGAATTAAAAAGATACTTTATAAAATTAAAAGATCAAATTAAAATCATATATAAAGTAGAGAATTAAAAATATACTTTAACCTCTCTGTGTGTGTGTGTTTTCTGCTTCTTATTACACATTTAATTAATTTTAACTCTGTTGATATACATTAATTATCATTTAATATCTGAAAAATTTATTCATATACACATACATACATACATACATACATACATACATATATACATATATATATATATATATATATTATTTGAACTATGAATACGCGATTCAGGAACCTTTCTGCATATTTCCCAACGTATTAACGTTGATGTTCCAAATTCCACTTTTGTTCCCATAATTGCCATCTGATATGAGGTTTTTTTTTTTTTTTTTTTCCTGATAGGATCGATATGCCTGTTGAAACCACCAACAGTTGCATTATCTAATCAATCAACGCGGTTTATTTGATCCCAGCATGAAAGAACCTCAACTTTTCATCTTTTTTCCCCATATTCATCAATGGTCAGCATATAAGAGATAAACGCATTATATTGTACATATGTCTGACAGTGGATGGATGATTATATTAGGGAAATTATTTAAGTAATTACGATGCCATATTTATATAGGGATTACGAACTTGCGTGAATGTTAAGGAAGTCATTCACAGAGAAATATGCTGGAACTTTAATTTCTGTATTAGTTTAATTTCTAATTAATATAACACTTGGAAGGTAGAAAAAACTTGGAAAATGTAGTGAGTTTTCATTTAAATGAGATAGACACAATTCATGTGTGTCTATACCGTGTTGTATGACTTCAAAGCCGTGAGTTATTTCTCCTTCCATTCCATCCTTTAAGTTTGGTTTATATTTTATTAGACTCTATACAATGCATATATAGGACCCACACTAATTTTACTATTAATTAATTATATATTGATCAATGGATAGAAATTTTAAACATTGCTATTAATATATTTTTTTATAAGTTTGGTTTATATTTATTAGACTCTATACAATGCATATATAGGACCCACACTAATTTTTACTATTAATTATATATTGATCACTGGATAGGAATTTTAAACGTTGCTATTAGTATTTTTTTTTAAAAAGAAAAATTGACACGTTTAGCTCGATCGAGACAGAGACCAAATCTACGGAACGATAACAGAAACATAATTAATGTTTTTTTTCTTGTAGTTAAGTTGAATAAATCAAATTATGAGAGATTTCCTAACAATTTGTTGAAGTTCTCACAGCATTGACCTGTCTCTCTCATTTACATTTTCTTCGGTCAAATAGAAAAGTGTATGTGTATGTCTGTCTAATGTCCTTTAATTTTCATAGAATTTTCTGTACCAGAAGGACTCAACAAAATAAAATTTTCATATCATCTCAACGATTATGTGGTCGAATTTCCACGTTAATTTGCTGGCCTAATCTGCTCGGTTTTTCCTCTCTTCTTTATAAGATAAATATTATACTCTATTCGTTACAAAAATTTACAAGACATTTTAACCAAATCATAGCCCAATAAATTACTTAATTGTCTTTGAGCTGATAACATTTTTTCACATTTATCTTTATTTAATACTGTGTTTAATTTAAAGTGAAGTGTTGGATGATTTATTTATTAAATTATGACCTATTAATTACATGTTGAAACAAAAAATACTTATATTTTTTAATGGAGAGGGAGTAATTTTTACATGAATTGGTAGCTAGTACTTACTTTTCAAACACGCATATGTCTGATTAAATATATACACAGCCAATTCATTATAAACTTGTGTTATTATTAGTGAAAAATGATTTTATTTGGAATCGAATATCAACTTAATTAATAGAACACGTCAAAGAATGTTTATAAAAAGAAAAAAAAAGAACACGTCAAAGAAACAATTATAGTAATATGGACGAATAAATTAAATATTGAAAGTCCTGTCCAAAAAATCTTACCATGCCATGATCACTAGCTTTCTCACAGATTTTTTTTTAATTACCAGAAAATGCTTCCGAGAATTTGTTGGTGAAACTGAGGCTATTTGATTCAAAGTCAACTGCAGCTTCCTCGTAAAGATTCTCTTGTACGTTTTGGGAGTCATCAAAAACTTCACAATTAAGCTAAGCTTCACCTGGCATGATCAAATATAATTTTGATTTTAAATACTAAAAAAATCAAATATATTGTCTGGTTAATTAATTGCCAACTGGAAATGAAAGAAATTATCAACTGTTATTTTATTTGTTAGGGTTAATCTTTTTTTTTAAGATCATTCTGTATAGTTAATATATGTTCTCCCATCATTAAAAAATGTAAGACATCTTTAATTTTTTGAGGTGTAATATTTTATTTTTTTAAAAAGTTTTATTATTAAATAAATTACTTTATATTTATTTTAAAGTGTTTATAATGAGAGATAAATATAGAAACATAGGATTAATTTAAAAATAAGTAAATAATTCATTTGGAGTGAAATTTAATTAAAAATACCTTATATTTTAAATGTTAATAATTTAATATTATTAATGGCTTACGTAATGTCAATTTTCAAATGTCACATAAAAGACAGGCATGGAGAAACATCATCTGCTGAAAAAGGACAAGAAATGAGGCCACCTATGTTAATACAAAGTCAATTGATTCTATACATGTCAGCGAGTACACAGAGCCAATATAAATCAATCGATTCTGAAAAGTGCAAAGACGAGGAATTGAAATTTATAAGGGCCAATATATTTTATTCAAATATTTTCCAATTTTTCTAAAGTGAAAGAGTTAAATAAATTTG